GAATCTGAAACCCGAGGGTCCATTTTCAGGTTCCATGTTGGTCTTATATATATATATATATACACTCCCGAAAACTAACATGGACCCTGAGAATGGCACCCTGACTGTTTTCCTCTACAAGCATCTACAAGCCAATTATGTTCAGAGTCCATGTTAGTTTCCAGCAGGGTATATATACCAGGACCCCCCTAAGGGGGTTGTGTTGATAGCCCCTTAGTCGGGGTGTCCATTAACCACCCCATGTGGGTCCTGGTGTATATACTGTACATGTCACTTAAAGCATCCTTAAGCCACTCCATGGAGTGATATGGAGTAATATGGTATGTACAGCGCTTCAGGTGAATCAGGCGGTTTGTGTCGGATTTCCTTCGTTGATCGGAACGCCATAAGCCACTCAGGTCACAGGGTTATTGATGAGCCTTGGTTCATAGGTGTTCTTGTCCTGAAGCAGGAAATATGTGGGACGGGTACAGCTACACTATTCAAACTCTTTTGTGGATAGCCATTGCATGTGGCTTTGCCAGGTGTGAGAATATGAGGTATAATTGACATATTACATTTATTGTAATATAGTCTTCAGGATTGGAGCCTATAGTTGCATGTGTTTTCGCTTCTTTGTAGTCAAGGATTGTGCCGACCGCGAAGACGATTGAGCTGGTGAAGCAGTTCTACCGTCAAGACTACGCAGCCTTTGGCTTTGTTTAGCCATGAAAGCCTCACGCGGAGAAGTGAAGCCTGGAACTTCATGGCGCAGCTGTGGCGCGCACAGGTCTTTGGAGTAGAGTTCTTCAATGAGTCGACAGAAGTTGGCGATGAGTCGCCAGAGATGGCGGAAAATAGGTCTCGCCTGGTGCATGTTTTGTTGGGGTGATGAGTATGATCATGTTGTTTTTTGTGTTGGCTGTTTCTGCATGCAGTGTTGGCAACCATGTGTGATTGTGATTCCCATCACCGCATTCCATTGTTTTCATTGTTATTACTTTGTTTACTTTTTCCGGCGTTCCAGGTTGATTTGCTCCAAAAGAGGTCATGAGAATCCATCCGCTCAGGCGCCACTTGATCTCCAATGATCAGGTCAAGCATGATCCCTACACCGACTTCGTCGTACCTCCTCAACGGTTCGGTATGACTGGACGTACCTCCCTGGCACCCGGGAAGGTCCTTGGAGGCCTAGGGTTGGTCAAGCATGATCATCCCAACACTGAAGGAAGTTCGTCCGACCCCCGGCCCAGTTCGCTCAGTTCGTCGGAGGGTCTTCCGAGCTCCAGTTCGTCGGACGAGTTCAGTGGATGAAGTCAGTGTTTCACTGGTGGCACCGGATTGACATATGGTATGTCCATATATACCTTATATAAGTGGTATTTACATCAGAAACTTGTGGGAAAAAACTGAACATATGACCAGGTGCGGCTGGGTGCGACCGGACGGTACCTACTGAGCTACTGTACCGGACACGATGGCGGCGAAGATGGTCCAGCAATGGCACCGAAGAGGATGACCTATCCCAGACACGACCCGTCTGGGACTGCCATGACGGACTGCCGAGAAACGGCCAGGGGTGGTGCCAGGGGGGTCTGTTTGGGGCGGCAGTCCGTCAGTCCCAGGTCCGGGTCCTGTCTGGGAGTGAGGTTTCAGTGAGTCAAAATAACATCTATTGGCTCGTATATACGGGCCCATAGCCCTAGGCCCTAGGGCCATATAAATCCACCAATTCCAAGTGGCCCTCCAAACACGATGTGCTTGGCCGGACCGAGCCATCGCTCCACTGCGTCCCTCTGAGGATGTGGTATGTCCATCCGCCCACGTCCGAGCTCACGGAGGATTCCATTACACAAGGTGCGGAGGATCCGCCGGGTTTGTGGATGACATGTTTCGGTCCGATTCGGCCCTATAGTGGGCGACAGGTCCGATTCGGACATTGGGACCTTGCGGCCGGTGCATTGATATATGTCTAATAGTTATTATAGTTAGATTTGTTCTTCATTGCAGGTAAGTCTCAGGAAGCACACCAGAGGATTAGAGCACGATTTGATCACATAATGTATTGAATTTCGTAGCGAGGACATGTGTTCGGGCTCGCTGCATTCTCTTTGTTTGGACACCTTTATTCAGCACCCCCCTTTAATGCTGAAGGCTTATCATATAGATGTTATATTTGTACCTTGTTCTAGGGCATCTACAGGTATGAAGACTTCTTTGGCCTATGCTTGGGGACAGGCTTGGCGTTTACTAGGTGTACGGTGTACCCATGGGTCATTGTCTTACGGACGGAGTTCTCTCAGGATGTTTGACAGCACCCGAGAGATATATACAGATCCAAAGCACAGGTGTTTGGGGTTGATGTTAGTGCCACATTTGATGAATCAAGAGTAGAGTTGCTTTACAGGAAACCATATGGATTTCACCAGCAAACCTTCGTTTGGTTCTCCTGTAGGCTTTCCCTGTTTGCCACTTCTGAGACACATCCGTATACAGGTCAAAGACCTAACTTTGGAATGGATCATGCAAGTGCAGCACGGCTTATACCTGGACCCCACACTACCTATAGGCTTCCAGACAGGGCACCCCTTGGAGGGTCCTGGTATAATAGGGCTTAATGAGGTATACCACTTCTTAAGAACAAAAACCACGGTAATTCTTACCCAAATTGGCTGCACGTTGACCGTCTTTTCCACCGACTCGGACTCCGAGTCGTAGCGTCGGAGAGGCTTTGTCGCTTACAAGAAGCGAGATGCTTGGAGGAAAGTATCCCGGCCTAGGGCTCCAGTTGTACCTCGTCAGGTTTGGTATGACTGGACATATTTGGAGCCTCCTGGCCCCTACCCCAGTCCCACCTTCTTAGAAGGTTCGACTGGAGCCCTGCGGTATAGGTCATCCCGAAAGGAATGACTGATGCGACGGAAGGAATGACGGTGGCTAAGAGACCTTACCGGTGGCTGAGAGACCTTTTGGATCGCCATGGTACCTATGTGGCTTCGCACAAGTCATAGAGGAGGCTCTGGTTGGACAGTTGGAGGCTCTCCTAGCAAGTATTGGTAGAGATAGATGGACATGGTCAAGCAACTTGATGTTCACATGGATGTATGTCAACTGGAATCAACTGGACATCATTTACCATATCCCTGCACCTCCGGTCGTACCGAAACGAATTCCGCTTCGGTCTGACGACCGACGTGCCGAACCGCTGGCACCCGCCAAACCCCTGGTCGTCAGAGCGGTTCGGTACGACGCAGCGGTCGGCCGAGACCTCGGGTCACACATCACCGGTTCGCCAAGAAAGGTGGTTAAGGGACCTGAACTAGGACCCACCTATGGGTCCTTCAACCTCTCTAGGGTCCTTATAACCTCTCTTAAGGATCCTTACCTATGGGATCTTATAGGATCCTTACCTATGGGATGGTCTATAGGGTCCTTCAACCTGTGTTGGCGCCTCCGAGGAGTTGACCTGTCAATCTCCCGATGACGAGGACGAGCCGGTCAAGGAATCGGGCGAGCTGTGAGGGCTGGTCGACCCGACCAGCCCTGCCGTGCGAGCGAGGCGATGAGGAAAGGATCCTGACTCGAAGCCAGCTGATCAGTTGATAGTTGATCACGGATTCAATCACCTCAGTGCGTGCGAGAAACACATAGAAAAACACTGTTTCATGTACAATATTGATCAATATTGTACAATGACAATGAGTTGTTTCTTGAAAACAAATTGTTTACCTGTCGCTTATGCCGTGGGAGAAAACACAAATGTTTGGGGGAACATCTTTGGAACACATTTAGGACTTGTTACATTTGTTACGTTGATTGAGGAGAGCTCGGAGAAGAAACGCATACCCCATTATCTCGAATCAGTTAGTTCGTTCTAATAATGCTAGAGTGGAAGGGTTGGTTCCCGAGCGCCTCGGAAGCTGTCGCCATCGCGCACACTCCCGCGGAACAACGCGAGCGCCGAGGGCGACCAAGGGCCGGATAGGGTGAACAGCGTCAAAGCTACGCGGAAAAAAGACGAGAGCGGCCTGGTGAGAGCTTTCGATTGGTCATTGCGAACTTGAGTGAGTTTGAGGGAACTCGGAAACCGGTTCAACCCAAGGAACCCGGCCGATGTTTTTTCAGAAGGTCCTTGGAGCCTGGAAACGCAGACGTCGTGCATTCTGGATAGGATAGGTCTACGCCATCACCGTCGGTGCGTCCAGGGCCCCCCCTGGTCATAGAAACAGTCCACTCCTTGGATCCACTCGGACCCCAAAAGTGGCTTCGAAAGAGTCTCAGCTACCTGGAGTCGACCTGGAGTCCTTCGTATTTGGGAAAAGGAAGAACTCGTACATCCGTACCGTACCTGTTTTTTTCTTTTTTTTGATGGGATCAGACGTTTCATGATATCTAAGGTACTGGGTCAGTCGGGTCCAGGTATATACCAGCACCTGAAAGAAGGGGGTCTCCAATAGACTCCCCTACACTACTCACTACTCAGGGATCTCCATTGAGCACCCCCTTTGAAGGTCCAGGTATCAATTTTTTTTAATCATAATCCCTCTATTACCATCACCCTATACCCAAAGTGGCAGGTGATGACCTGGCAGAGTTGGTAGATGACTCGAGTCCAGCGAGTGTTCCTCACACCTTGTTCAACTACAAACGAAGACTCGGGGATCGTGGAGGCCACCATTCGCAGGCCGTTTTGGGGAGAGGGGAGAGGCAGGGGCACAAGTCCTAGACTAGCAACCCTCCAACAGGTCAATTGAGATCTCTAACAGGGGCCTAACTTAACTAACAACCCTCCATTTCGGAGACCTCTATTCTTCCTCGGGTGCTGGGGCCAGGTTTCTGTTTTGGCCGTAGAAGGGGCACTCCCCTTCACCCAATACCCAAACACTCCATGGGACTGGCATAGGACTGCCGATCAGGCCAGGGGTGGTGCCAGAGGGGTCTGGCTTGATCGGCATATCCAGCCCCATGGAGTTCCCTGGGATAGGGAACCACCACCAGCCTTCGGAGGGCGCTGGACTGAGGCAATGCCAATGCCAGTCTTCGTGACGAGGGCCGGGGCGGCTGTGCGGGAACCTCCCCGCAGGACCTGGTCGGTGCGGTTCCGTTCCGAACGCCATGGGAGCCGCTGAATCCATCGGTGGAGCCGGAATCTGGAGGATGCAATGGGATCTCTTGAGGTGTTCCCGAGCAAGGAGTGAAGGGAACCCAGTGCACCCCAGGCAGTTCCCACGAGTAGTAAGGAACCAGGGATTCGGAACCGGTCTATGGTTTTAGTCGTCGAACTGGAACCACGACGGGACTCCCAGCGAGCTCTCGTGGGTTGCCTGCCTGGATGGTTTGGGGAAGCTTTTGGCGTACCTTCCAAGTATCTTCTGAGGAGGATTGGGCCCACCAATGGACAGTCAGGGTTTCGTCCGGTCTGGTACTGAGACGATGGCTTGAGGGCCTGCCAGCGAATGGCAGTGCGGAGACGCGACGCTCGCCAAGCATGGACTTGGAATAACTATAGATTTTACACTCCAAGAGCAACCATTTTGTACATATAGCCTTGGAAGAATAGGAAGAGAGTAATTATCCCGAAACTGACTAGTGATGATTTAATGGGAGGTCAGGTTTGCACATTGCTCGTGGAAAAAAAGGACGTGGATCAGGCGAAAAGACAAGCACCTGGAAATTCCACCCTCCGGTCCTTTCGAAGATTCCCAGATGAGATACCCTGAGGATCCCGACACCTTCGCAGGGGTCGAACCCTTTATAACTACAGGGTTGGTCAAACCCGTGTTTTTGAGGGTCCGGGTCCGTCAGGTCTAGACCGACTCTGCCTTGTCAAACCCCCGGAAGGGTGGCCAGACCTACGGATGGAGAGTCAAGGCACCCCCACAAGGGGCCGGTGATTAGAAGCGCAGGAAGGCCGGTGTGCGTGGAGAATGGGAAGCGGCCAGACCTAATCAGCCCTAACCCTAGGCCTCCAGTCGTACCGAACCTGAGAAGGTGGGACTGGGTGCCAGGATACGACAGTGCGGTGTAGGGTCAATGAGGTGACAGTGACCAGTGGCGCCGACCGTGCCAGTCCGGTACCCCACCGGAGTCCACACCACGACTTATCACACCCGTGGTACCGCTGCGAACAGGCGAGGCAGGTGAGGCAGTCTGGTGTTTTACTCCCCATAAAAGACATGTGACAACATACCAGCACCTTCATGTCGGGGTCACCTGGCTGGTTCCGGCCCAGCCCACTACGTACCAGGGACCTCCAGACGTCGGACACCCCGAAAGAAGGTCCAGGTCGTCATGGTTACGTGGATGGCACCAGTTTTGGGTCTGACAATGGTCCTCCTGTCGGGGTTATGCCATCCACTGTTTCATGATCATTTCGGGGAGTGTATAGTATAGTGGTTTCAGAGGTTCGATGGTGCAACATCAAAGTGGTTGGTTCATATTCCAGGACCTTCCAACAGGTCACCACCTGCGACTACCTAAAGCACTTACATTTCAGCCTCCAGCCATCGGAGATCTGGTTTCGGTGCGTTGACCATGTGTTCCTCTTGGGATGCCAGCTGACAGGAGGCGGAGAAGGACCGGTCCATGGAGGAGACCATGAAACCCTTGTCCCAGGCCGTGGGCGGCAGAAGGAGCTACAAGTTTAAGTTACTCCCTAGAAGTCCAGTTCGACTATATGTTGACCGGCTGAAGGATCCAGGATATTCCTTGACTCGGGTCACCGTTCGTCAGACCATTGTCTTTTTATAGTCTTTGACTCTCAGGGTACTTATATAAGGACATCTGTTGGACATTTGCAGGTTAGTTGTTTGGAGGTGGTTCTGCGATGGTTCTGAGGATTGGTGGAATCACCTACCAGAAAAACAACAGTACAGCTGTTTGGACGATTGGGCACGCCCCACTCAACAACGGCGTCCGGTGATGGCACCGTTGGGGGGGCAGCAAAGAGCGGGATGGAGAGGTGGATCCTGGTGGATTTGTTTTTTTTTCGGGTTTCATTCGCATCATGTTGCACTGCTAGTCACCAGAAGCTACGACCGGGGATCCTGGCCTACTAATTAGGGGCTTCTTGCATCGCTACGAGGAGCAAGAAGCTTGCATGTTTCTCTATTGCATCATGAAGATCATGGTCAATTTTGCATCATTTGGTAATCAGAGTGCCTACCAGCCCGAACATGAAAAAGGTCTCCGAAATGGTGGCTGAAATGGAGAGTCAGGTGATGGATTGGTTGGGTTGTGTTAGTGACTTGTTCTCATTTTGTTTCGATGTTGGCATTGGGTTCATTTGCATCACCTACTGGTGATTTTGAGATGAGATGAGATGAGTCTTGCATTGAAGCGATCCAATTGTTCGGGTTATTCTTTGCCATTCTCAGATGAAAGTTCCCAGATGATCCCAGGAATCCCAGATGTGTTTTTTCAGTTGTCCCAACCTGGAGTTGCGAAAGGCACCTGCTGAAGCTCCCGAAGAAGAAACATAAAAGACCACCAGAGATTCGAGATGAAAGTGCTACCCAGCACCCCCCTGGAGGCATTCTCCTCAAAAAAGAGGCCACTTGACTGTTGGGAGGCGCATTTTTCCAGTCGTATATTATTCGTCTCGCTTCGGTGTAGCGCCGCGTGGTGGGTGCCAGGAGGGTCTAAGTCTATCCCTAGGGCTCCTGGCCCACCTCCTCAGAGTGTAGTTAGACCCGCCAGACCCACCCCTGGCCCACCGAACCTCAAGAGCTGGGCCAGGAGCCCTAGGGTATATAAGTACCAGCACCTTCCTGTCGGCGTCACCTGGCTGGTTCCGCCCCAGCCCCCGCCTACTACTCAGGGATCTCCATACCCCTAGGCCTCCAGTCATACCTTCTGAGGTTCGGTGGGACGACCGGGGCCCGGGTGCCAGGGTCGGGTCCAGTCATACCTTCGTTTCGTTTCGGTACGACTGGAGGTGTAGGGTATACTCCGTGCTGAATCAACGATCGTGCTCAGATCTACAACGATCGCACGACCGGGCTGATGGGGTGCCCCTTGACCGCTGGGCAGCCCAGCGGGCTTCCGGAAAAGGAGCGGAGGGGGGGATCTGGCAGATGTGGCCCATTTCGAAGTGAACAACCATAAACATAACGTGGTTTTGCTTAGTAGTTAGTAGAGTTATTCTTATTGTCCTTTTGTGGGTGAATGGACAGAAACCAATTCCTTCAAATTATAATATGGACCCTAGGCCTCCGGTCGTACCTTCTGAGAAGGTTTTTGGGGTGGGTGCCAGGCTCGATGTTCGGGGTTCGTTTGCCCTGCGGCCGATGTGGGACACGGCGAACCGTGTGGGAACTCATCACGGCCCCGCGGCCCGAAGCACGCGGCCGAAGTGGAGATGGTTTCGCCCGGTCCAAGGGGACCGAAAAAAGCGCCTGCTCCAAGGGGATATGACCACATCATGCTACACAGAGAGAGAGAGAGAGAGAGAGTGAGAACGTGTGTGTGTGTGTGTGTCCACCCCTGGACAAAGGGTTCTCAACCAACTTCGGCAGGGGCACTGAGCACTCCTTGGCAAACTCAGTGCAACGAAGCTATGCCTTGGAGTGGGAAGCACGGATTGATCACCCGTGTGTACCTGCAACAATTTGGAACTGTTGAACACGCTGTCCAATGTGCTCTTTTTGTTTCCATGGTTCTTCATGATACCTCCCACAAACCCACCGCCGTCTTGCGCCGCTTTGCAGCCGACTTTGAGTGTCAGATCGTTTTCGAGTGCAGCTGCCAACACTGTTCAACAATACGGTTTTTGCGGACTTATGCACCTTTCCGTTCCCTCGCCTTCCTTCCCAACGTGGGAACTGAGTCACTGAAAACCAATGTCAGAGTGTGTTTCGCTCAGCCGTCCCACGAGTGTGATCCCCGTCACAGGGGCGCCGTTTTTGCATAGGAAATCATCCACCCCAACTTGCCACCTACCACTGGATTTCCACTGGAAGTCATTGTCACATCCATAGAATCAACTGATGCATTGGCCGCCGGGCCCAAAAACGGGATTACTTCGACAGCCGCCGGGCTATAAAACGGTGCGGTGCTCAACCCCCAATGAGGCAGGTTCCCCAACCACCCCCCCGCTGAGTTCTACTCCCTACCTATTTAGGGCAACATAGGGAAATGGTACTCGACACACTTGTGTGTCGGTGCCTTTCCCTGTGTTGTTCCTTTTCTAGTCTTTCCTACCCGGGCGGTCTAAGACTAAAGTCCCGCTTCCTAGCTATTGCACCCAATTCATTTCTGCTAAGTAATCAGTAATTCTAGAGGGCTAAGTATTCATACACACACACACGGACACACACATGTACATACACTTCCCTGCCCCCCGCTTTTCTTCTTACGCCTTCGGTCGTTTCTTGGGCTTTCTCTCAGGCTTTTTAGGTTGTTCTTGAGGCTCGTTTCCCTACCCCAGTCAAGGGCTAAGTAGTCATTTTTCCTACACCTATCTTTCTTTCTTCCCCTCTTAGCGCTGCTCTTTCTGTCTTTCTTTCTTTTTGTTTCTAAGGCTTTTTAGGTGACTATTTAGGTTTTTTCACATGCGCGCCGCGAAGCGGCACCGTGTGTGTGCCACCGTTCTTTGAAAAAAGCGCCGAAGCCGGCGATTTGTGTGTGTCCACCCCTGGACAAAAGGGTTCAACCAACTTCGGCAGGGGCACTGAGCACTCCTTGGCAAACTCAGTGCAACGAAGCTATGCCTTGGAGTGGGAAGCACGGATTGATCACCCGTGTGTACCTGCAACAATTTGGAACTGTTGAACACGCTGTCCAATGTGCCCTTTTTGTTTCCATGGTTCTTCATGATACCTCCCACAAACCCACCGCCGTCTTGCGCCGCTTTGCAGCCGACTTTGAGTGTCAGATCGTTTTCGAGTGCAGCTGCCAACACTGTTCAACAATACGGTTTTTGCGGACTTATGCACCTTTCCGTTCCCTCGCCTTCCTTCCCAACGTGGGAACTGAGTCACTGAAAACCAATGTCAGAGTGTGATAGAATCTAACATGGATGTGCTTGAGGCGCCATCAGCGCCCTAAAGAAGCATATTTGCCTTGCCTACATCAAGCGACACCGGTGGCGAGCTACAGACCGAGACACATCAAAAATCCCATGCTCCACCGGAGAATGTGACTGACATGAACCTCATTCAGGAGGGAGCTCCTTCTTTGCATGATTGTTCCCAACTTACGCTCAGGGAGTCGCTCAGGGGTGTTTTTGATTCGAATACTCCACCGACACCACCAAACTGTTAAAGGACACCGCCTTGTCACTGGAAAAAGACGAGTTCTTTCAATCATTCAACAGCTTGCCTGGGGTCAAGAAGCTGACGGCTCATGAGCTCAAGTAGAAGGACCATCCTCCAATTTCTCCAGAGCAAGAGAATTAATTGATATTACTTGACTGTCGCCATGTGATGGTCACTCCCCCAGCTCTTTTTGATTTTGCTTGCATGGGAGCCAATCTTGCAGAGGGCATCTTTCAGTACCTGCATTCTACCCCAATGTTGGAGTCAGAGCAGGAGCTGGTAGTCAGCAACGTTCAAGACGATGAAGAGGTGTGAGTGCAGCCCAGTGTTGGACGACAGCAGCCTGGAGTTGTACTCTTTGTGCACTTCGGTGGAAGCACTGGTGCGGCTTCTCTACGCAATTTTGCTGCGTACCACTTTTAGCGGGGCTGGCCTTCCGTCAATGCTCTGGTCGCACCAGCGATGCCGTTTCCGGGAGGCCGTGCTGTCGAAGAACAACAAGGAAGGGTTTTCACACAGATTGGCAAGTTCCAATTGGGAAGCGCCACACCAGAGGTCCGTGTGGCGTGGGGCCAGAGTGGCAAATACAACGTGGCACGAGTGTCAGCCGAGCGCATTTGCGAAGCTGTCAACAGTGGGCACATCTTTCTCCCAGTGTGCATTGCCTTAGACTTCTCAAAGTGGAACTTGAAAATGTCTATGAAAAAACACTGGCGGGATATATTCCTGGACAACATGTACAACACCGATGAAGGCTTGGGCAGCTTACACCCGCCACCACCTTTTCTAATAGTCTCTGATGCCACTTTGGCCTCACCTGTTAGGAAGGAATGCACATTCTGGAGCCCAGGCCATCCATATGGCACTGCAAAAGGTAACCGCACATTTACGATGTTTTGTTCCATTATGTTCCAACCTTGTTACCCATCCGTTCACAGAACCCGTTCCAGTTTAGCTCCATGTGTCATGCCCAGCTGCTCCATGTATGGTGCACTCGGTGACACCTTTCTGGCATGGTTCGGAGCACATCCCCGCATGCTGTTTCGGAGTCATACATAGTGGCTCAAAATGGCTCAATTTGTTTGTTTGTTTTTAGGAGTTATTGTATTTGTTTGCTTCTGGCTTCTGTGGCTTTTGGCGTTTGTGGCTTCTGTGGCTTTTGCCGTTCGTGGATTCTGTGTGGCTTTTGGCTATTAAAGGAAGGAAGGAAGCTTTCGTGGCTTCTGGATTCTGTGGCCTTTTGTTGTCTGGTTTGTGCTGCTCGACTGTGCTATCTTATCTATCTTATCTTGTTTGATATCTTACCTTATATCTTATCCATCCACCGATACATTGATCTATCGACCTATCGACCTTATCTTAGCTTATCTTATCTTGTCTTACCTTACTATCTATCTATCTATTTATCTATCTGTATTTATATGTTTTCCTACTTTACCTTACTTTACCTTACCTTACCTGACCTAACCTAACCTTACCTAACTATCTATCCCTCTATTTATCTATCAATCAATCTAATCTAGCCTAATCTCATCTAATCCTATCCATTTCTTATCTTATTTTATCCTGTCCTATCCTATCTTTCTACTGCAATCTAATCTAACCTAACCTCATCTAATCTAGTTCTATCCAATCCTTTCCTTTCCTTGTCTATCTATCTATCTATCTATCTATCTACTTGTTTATCTATCTGTAAACGAACACAACGGAAAAATGATAGAAACCATAGAAAATGAAAGGAACCATTAAAAACTGATGTGTTTCAGAGTTTCAGTAAAACTAAGGAAAACCAGTGGAAAATTCAGAAAAGATCAAGGACAATCCATTCCCACGTACTGTACCTCTTCGAACTCTGCACATGGAAGTAAAGCCGCTCCAATCCCTTGCACCTGCCACCCCCCCCACAAAAAAGAAAAAAAATCCAAAAGTAAAACAATATAATTAAAACTAAATCCAAACCCCTGAGTGACTGAGTGAGCAGACCTTCCATGCCAGCTGGCTGGACGAATGGCAAAAGCCCAGAAACCTCGACAGCACAGACCGTTTTCACCTTTGGTGTTGTTTAGGCTTTCCTCCTACATGTCACAATGCTGCCCGAACCTTTCGTCCTGCACGTCGAGCTCTACGTCATGGACTTGCACGGCCTCTGCAACAATGAGCCTAGCACACAAACAGTCCCAGCGGGCATCCAATTCTTCACACCTTCTCCCTGTGAAGTCCATCACTCCACCACCCACTGCCCTCATGATCCCACGACGCCGGACCGGAGGTGAAAACCCTGACCTCGTCGGAGCCTGCCTTGACCCCCGTTCCATGGAAGGTTGCATTAGGTGACCCGATCTTACCCGTTTGGGTTCCTGGCCCACCTCCTGAGGTGACCGGTGGTTGGGGTGGGTGCTAGGGGGGTCTAACCACCGAACCTGAGGATGTGGTTGGAGCCCTAGGGTTAAAACAAGATACCCAGACACGACCCGGACCTGGGACTGCCGATTCGATGCCGAGTGGCACGGGCGTTCGGGGTGATGCCAGGGCGGTCTGGCTTGATAGGCAGTCCGTCCTGGCAGTCCCAGACAGGTCGTGCCTGGGATATACGATGGATTGATAGGGATTTGGGCCAATGGGATGGGATCCTTCCCCTGTCTCCTGCCCAGGTGCCCAAGTACTCCCAGCGCTTGAAGCACTCGGAGAGCCCCCCACCCGAGCGGCGGCGCGTCAGCCCTCGCCCCGCACCACAGAAGGCGGGGAGACCCGGCAACTCGCGGGGCGGAGAGGAAGCAGAGCGGAAGCAGCTAAGCAGGTGCAAGGTGACAGGGTAGTCAAGAAGGGGGGGATCTGTGAAGGTGTAATCCAAACCCAGACATGACTTCCATGGGACTGGCATATGCTCCATACATTGACAATATGCTAATTGACTGGCAAAGATGCTATAAATGGGAGTGTTTGGGAAATGCCATCCATTCTGCAGGGCCGCCTGCTTGCGCAAGCGAAGGAACCCCCCCATTTATTTCCACGCGATGTACTGATACGAGTCAGCAGGTGCTTGCAGGAACCCCCCCATCTCACCTGTTTGGGATGGTCCTTGTCGAAGGCCATGGTACCAATCCCAGACCATCCATGGGACTGCCATAGGACTGCCGATCAATTGACCCCTCTGGCACCACCCCAACTGATCGGCATATATGGTAGTCCCATGGAGCGTTTGGGAATTGTCGAGTTCTGGATTCCGTCTAGCCGGGCGAGTTGGACTTGTGAACTTTTCCCTCTCCGAACTGGGTGAATCCCTGGGAAGCGGTTCGGGACGGCCGAAGCCGATCAGTTGGGGCAAGACAAAACAGGCGCTTGGGTCTGGGGCGGCTCACTCTCTCACCAGTCCTTCTGGCCGGTGGCTTACTCTCGCACCGGATCAGGTGAATTAGGTTATCCCCTTGACTCACTGACTAGCATGGGACCTCGGGTCCAGATCACGATGGGACCCGTTGCTTCAAGAAGAAACTCCTTTTCCAGCTTCCATTTCTCCGGGTTCGTGATATTTGGCTTTCGGGTCACCAAGACGGTCTGGTGTTTTTCGAGAGCTGGCTGCATCGGACTCAAAAAGGTTTCGGTTTAGTTGTGCTGCACGTGGGCAGCCAGGCGACATCAGGCGAAATCGACGCACTCCACCGCTCCACGGTCCGTGGTGGCAGTGTCCGTCTCCACGGTTTTTCACCGCCTCCACCGCTCTCGGCGAGGACTTCGACCGAGCATGGGAGCGATGTCATCAAGACCTTTATGAGGCGACCGGTGTCGACGGTGTCGACGTCCGCGGTCTGTCCTGTACCCTCCCACAGGCTGTCGGCACGGGAGTGGCATGAGGAGTGGCACGACCACCGTCCCTTAGCCCTTCGATTTTGCGACACCCATCGAAAAGACCCGAAAGAGGCCAGAAAAAAGCCCGGACCATTCCCGACACCTCCAAGTACCTCCTCAGAAGGTATTGGAACCCTCCAAACCCAGAAGGTACTTGGGAGGCCTAGGGATTCATCCAAGAAGTTACGAACTGAAGAGGCAGATTCGTGGGCCTTCCATGGCGAGGTCATGCGAGGTGGAAGATCGAGCGACGACGTTCCAGCGACACGTGCGACACCTCGGTGTTGGAGGATGCCTTTGCACGGCAGCAGCGGCTGCGGGACATGCAGTCCTATGTGAAGCAGATGGAGGAGAGTGGGAGGTGAACCTGGGCCTTGGTCCCAGAAAGTCCCATCGACTTTGAAGAACCCTAGGCCTCCAAGCACCTTGGGGTGGGTGCCAGGAGGGTCCAGGTACGACTGGAGGTGTAGGGGAAGGGTCAGAGAAAGCCTGTGGGGGTTGAAACCAGACCCACCCAGTCCACCAGTCGCATCGTGGCGAGTTGGGCTGGACACCAGAGAGGTCAAGGGGTCGGTATTCTGGTGCAGTGACCATCCGCAGACAGACTGACACTCCCTTCCGTACCACTGGAAGTGGATGGCACCATCTGCGCATGGACGGAGATTCATGTTCATCCGAAAAACTGGGCCAGCGGCCATGTAACGGTGACCTGGTTTTGCTAATGTTTGTGCTATGTTTTGCTTATAGGGCTATTTTGTTTAATTGTCCGGTGGCCCTATGGTTAAATTCCCTTCTGGTGAGTAGTTGATATTTTCCAGGTTCTTTAATCAAATCCAAGGTCCAAGATGAGGACGTTGGAGGGAGTGTAGTTTTCTCACGTTTGGGATGATTTCTTGAGACCGGGAGGCCTCAAATCTTCAGCTTCGTTTGAGTGCATCATTCCCTGGTGTGGAAGCTGGAGATGTTTTCATAGTCTCTTCATAGTCACGTTGTTCACTGGGATTTGGGGAGGTGAATAATGAAGAGTCAGCAGTAAGTAGGCTATAAGTAGCTATCCCCTATACTTGTGGCTCTATGGATATGAACAAGTAAGGAGGATAGTAGGCTGCTGTTTTTGATGTCCCACAGATGGCATGATGTTTTATTGTTTAAACTTCGGCGATCCGGGATCGAATGCAGCACGGCCTGGGGGCCCTGGCCCGCGCACCTGCGGAACCGTCAGATGACATGTGTTACGTTGTGTTACGTTGTTATTTCTTGCATGTAAAACATCAGCAAGAGTCATGGGTTTGCCTAGAACTTTCACTTACATCTGAGTAAGAGTTTCACTTCAGATGGTTTGCACTTACATCTGGAGTGCAGCAAACAGGCTGCTGAATTCATTCATTCATCGATGACCGGCGAATCCGTCACCACATGACGGATTCGCCGGCCCGGGCGTGTCCCAGTCAAGCGGTTTGTGGCAGTCGGAGTTCACAAGAACGTCACACTGAACCAATCATCCACGGGTATAGTGGCAATGGGGCATTCGATGAGATTCGCAAGGCAGGCAGTCTATAATTGTGTCAGATCAGCCAGCTTTGCAGGAGGATAATCACAAGGACCGCATGATGAAGTGTCAAGAAGGCATTAAGCATCCTGGCCGTGACCTTTGGGGTCTAAGCTTTAGGGTTCCAGTCGTTCCTCCGAAACGAGGCGTTGATATACCCCTAGGGCTCCAGTCGTACCTCCTCAGGTTCGATATGACTGGACATATTTGGAGCCACCTGGCACCTACCCCAGTCCCACCTGCTTAGAAGGTACGACTGGAGCCCTCCGGGTACTTGTTCCCTGAGACTCAAAGACTGTATATATATTAAAAGAATGGTCCGACTAGGTGACCCGAAAAGGAATATGATCCTTTACTTCAGCTGAACTGGACTTCTAGACGCGGTAGACGGCACCGGCTGCCACCTTGGAGATACTTGGGTCAAGGATGAGTGTGGGTGTATCTCAGTACCTCCCTGAAATCCAAAGAAAGCAAGAATGGCTGTCTATCTACCCTGGGGGTATATATCCGTTTGAAAGGATCCTAACGTTCTGAACTAGACAATGCTAAACAGAAAATATTAGATATATATATATATATTATATATATATAATACCCTAGGGATCCACATACCTTCTCAGAAGGTACTTGGGCCCTCCAAGCCTACATACATAATCTCCAATCACCTTCTGAGAAGGTACGACTGGATCCCTACAAATAGATTACAGGGGGACTTGAGGCCCCCTTTGCCCATCATAGATCGGCTATCATTCGGCTTGCAAGGTTGGTACAGTCCCCCCCAGAACTCCTGGCATGGCCCAATTGCCAAAGACATCCAAAGAACATTTTGGCAAAGACTCAAGTAAATCACCCTGTGTGGCAATTCAGCCAAGAGTCTTGAGGAGGGTATGGCCAAGGGTTCATTTTGAGTGACTAGCCTATATAAGCACGCTATAAGCAGTCAAGAGCGACTGTTGCCCCGCAGGACTCTCGAAGCACGCTTCCTGTTGGGATTCTTGAAGCTCTCCGTCCTATCCTCACAAAGGACGCTACGAACGGGGCTCCTGGCCTTACTATACTAGGAGCAAGAAGCTACGAACGGGGCTCCTGGCATCGCTACGAACGGAGCAAGGACGCTGCTAGGCCAAAGACATCGACCCTTATAGTAACCCTTAGCCCTTTGCTTCCTCACCGGAGCGGCCTGTCCTCGCCCGTTTCGACCGACCAACCCAGGCAGCGGCGGCGGTATTACAGGGGCCGTGCGGTGGAGAACAGTCACCTGGAGCGCGAAGAGGAGTATCACCGCTTCGGGCGCCTCCACCCGACCATAGTGAACCTGATAGTGTCCTTGCTAACTGGATCTAACTTAGAAAATGGGACGTCTGACCCCATAAAAACAGGTAGTTACGACTCTACTCATGTTCCGAGGTACGAACGGGTCGACTCCAGGTACTAACGTAGCTTCTTGTTACTCGTAGCGAGACGGAAGAAGGATGTTGTGGCTGTTTCCAGGTTGAAGAAACAGAGTTTTCCATCATGAAGACTAATGATGAACAATGGTTCGCTGTTAAGACCGCTGTTAGTGGTGACCACAAATTGTCAACTCAAATTTGTTTGAAGAAGAATCCTTGCAGACTTTTTGCCGCTTCTTGCAGTGCTTAACTCCGTGATTCGCAAAGAATCCTGATAACAGATCGTATAACATCCAACCTTCGGGGTGACACCGGGGACCGACAGAGGTTGAAGGACCTTATAGACTATCCCATAGGTACCCCACTTAACCTCTCTTGGGACACCCACTCAAGAAGAACCGGTGGCAGGTTACTCGTTCGGAATGACCAACTGGTCAGGAGAACTTGCGACGGCGGCAGGAGCATCAAGCCAGGCCGAGCGAGCTGAGCTGGGGGGTCGGAGCCGGGCCTCCCTCGCATTGGAGGCTTCACATGTTTGCAGGCTTGGGGGCATGCGGTCAAGATGCTTAACACTGCGAGATCTGAAACTCCTGTCTGTCTTAGCCAGGAAGGAAGCGAAATCACCTCTCCAGAAGTTCCAGACTCCCCAACAAGGACCGATCAGAACCGTGCCTCGGTGAAGAAAGCTAACCGATTCATGTGATCACCCACCCAGCAAGTTAGGACTCTTGGAACCCAAACCGCCTGCCTTTGGGTCCCGGCCGCTTTTCGGCGCGCCCGGTCGTGAGACCGCGGACCGTCCCTCGCTGGGACCGTCAGGTCGCTGCAGGAGCAGCGGATGCGAGAGCTGGATGAGTCGCTCGGGAAGCAGGAGGAGTCGCACGGGAGCACGGCCGGTGGTGCTCGTGTCCAGCATCCTGGTGGTGCGAATGACGGAAGTTCCTGCACTGGGTGAATCCCCTGGGGACCGGGGAATAGGTTTGTATTTTTGTCCCGGTTCCTGAAGCCAAGATGAATAGCCCCAGAAGGGTCTTCGGTGTGCCTGAACCACCCCGACCTGGGGGGTCGTGGAGGGAGGAGCATGCGGTCGAAAGGAGGCACCAGCGCTGGAACGGACGAAGGGTCATCTACCAGCCGCCTCCGAGGTCGACACGTTTAAAGCGTCAGAGGAGACCTGGAGGCTGCTGGTATGGAACATGCTGCCCCATGACAGACCCCTGAAACCTGGGCCAGTATGGCCTGTCTCAAGGATGGTTTGGCTTTGGAACTCCCTTTGCCAGACTGGGGTGGCAGCGGCATGCTGTGGGTATCTGTGGGTGCTGTCCTGCAGACGGAGCGACGAGCTGTGGGTGGGATGCCACTTGTTTCCGGGATGGTTTTCCAGGTTTGGTTTGTGATTTGGTCAGTTCTGTGTGCCGTCGGCGCTGGTATTTACAACGCTTGAGGTGTGTTACTGTCAGAACTGTTTTGTCAGAACAGTCTCTGGCTTGGCGCTGCTTTCTGTGAGGAATTTCCTTAGGATATCCGATAGGGTTTTGGCTTGGGAAGGGGTTCCTGACTGGGTTTCTTTTCTCTTGGCTTCCCAGTGCTTCACCTTTTGGAGCGTTCGCTGCGCTTCGGGTTTCTACGAGCCAGTGAGAGAGGTTTCGCTTTTTGGGGAATCCTTAGCGCTTTGGGGACACATCCATTTGTTTCTGCTTTGTTTGGGGTTCCAGGTTAGGATTTTTCGGGTTTGGTTAGGTTCCTAGGTTCTTAGGGTTATTAGGTGTTGTTGGTTTCCAGGTTATTCTTATGAGTTTTACTTCTTTCGGGTTTCTTTGGGTTTGGCTCAGTGGAGGCACAGGAGTGCTGGGTTTCTTGCGGCTCTTGCTGGCTTGTTGGCTCCCTGCCGGAGTAGACCGAACTGCTGGACCGGAACTGGAAAATAAATCCCTGCAAAAGTGGAGCCAAAGCCAAGCCAAACCCATGTAGGCAACCCTTAAAGGGCTGTTGGACTGCTAGCAGGGTTTGGCTTGGCTTTGGCTCAATCCACGAAACAACTGGGTACCCCTGTGGGTGGTGTTTGGGGGTGGTGGGGCATGTGTTTGAGGGAGTTGCACAATGCATGCATGTATCTGTATTAGTAAGGTACAAAAGGCTCCATTCCCAAGTTGGTTTGGGCATGCTCGAGAAGTATGTGGCTTGCAGCTTGCACAGAGGTGTTTGGCTGCACGCTATTATTGAATGCCCATGCCCGTCCCATCGAACTGAAGGGGTGTAGTTCTAACAGCATGTTAGAGCCTGGCCTAACAGCATGTTAGAGCCTGCTCCCCCAAATCACCTGAAACTGGCATAGGGTGCCGATCAGTTGCGGTTGTGCCGATCACTTGGGGTCTGTCTGGGGCTGCATACGAACAACTCCCAAGAAGGAGTCGGTTCTTTCCGAAGCGCCGAACCCGTCGGAGGGCGCGTCACGCGAGTCTCGGGCGCCGGAGCCCGGACGGTATCACCCCCCCGCGACGTTGAGACGTTGAGATACCATCCGATGCTGGAACCCCAAACCAACTAGAAACAAATGGTTGTTCCAATATGGCAATTGAAATCCATTTACATAGGAAATGGTTGGGACTGGGAAACATCCATTTCTTTCTGGTTGTTTGGGGTTCCAGGAAAGGACCATCCGCTAGTTGAGTGGTGCATCGGATGAGGGCGATACCACACGCCAGGACAGACTGCCGATCAAGCCAGACCCCTGAAACCATCCCAACTGATCGGCATACATGGAGTGTCTGGGAGAAAAAAGGCTATATAACCCTAGCCGCTCGGCCGACCGCTGCGTCGTACCGAACCGCTTCGGTGGGACGGGGGCCCGGGGGCCAGCGGTTCGGTACGTCGGTCGTCAGAGCGGTTCAAAGCGGCGCCCCGCCTCGCTTCGAGGACATGGGCCTCTCAGGATCACAGTGGCATGCGGTTGGTGCGTCAAGCCGTACTACTTTTGAGATCCACGACGGGGGCCGCCACCTTTCGCCCCCTCCTTTCACCGAACAATCGCCCAGGCTCAGAGGCTGCACCTTTCGGCCCTGCTTGGCGACTCGGCACATGAGCTCTGTCCGGAGGTGAAAGCTGCTTGATGCTGCCCTGTCATGATCGGTTGAGAGGTCGCTTCACGTTACCCCTTTTTGCTTGTGGTACATGGCAGGGATGGGCAGCCCGGGCTCAGTATAGGTCTCTGATTTCAACCCCTCTTAGGTGGCCTTTCCGCGCCTCCGCCGCCGGTGGAAACCACCGGAGGTGAAGAAGCTGAACTCGTCGCCCACCACGCCACGCCTGGGAGAGCGCCCACCAGGTCGGGAGCCCAGCGCTGCCGAGCGCCTAAGGGGGCTCTCGGTGAGAGGACCGAGAGGTGTTTTGGCCCCTTTACCAACACAGGTTGAAGGTACCCGAACGTTCGACCATCCCAGTTCGGTACCCCAGGTGAGTAGGGTCCGGACTAGTTCAGGTCACGTGAGTTCCACCTCTCTTGGTTTGTTCAGATCCGCAGGGTGAGAGGTAGGGGAAGCTTCGGGTGGTTGCGATGTGTTCGTTCTTCGGGTTCTGTGCTTCGAAGCTCTACGCCCACGAGCGGGAGCAGGTCTCATGATCCGAAGCTGCACTTCCGGCCTCGCCGTGAAGCTGGTTTTATGGATTTGGATGCCCGTTTGGGCTCCAGTCGTACCTCCTCAGGTTCGGTATGACTGGACCCTCCTGCCACAGTCCCACCTTCTAAGAAGATACTTGGAGCCCTAGGGATGGTATTAGAGTCTTAAGTACCCAGACAATCCATGGAACTGGAATATATGCCGATCAATTGACCCACTAAACCACCCCAACTGATCGGCAAATATGCCATACATGGAGTGTCTGGGATAGGTATGAATTCTCAAATTTCCTGTAGACTCTTGATTAACATAACCCTGGCATATATCAAGAGGTTGTTCAATCCCAACTGGGTGGGTGGGGGCGTTGTCAATGAAGTGTATGATAGTGTATGCATACTTCATGCAGGTATTTTCAGGAACCAGGTTGGCAACAGACCAAAACTTGTTGTTTGTTTAACTACCTGGGTTTGCTCAAAGTGATTTTATCTTCCCTGTGGGTGGAACCCTTCTGGTGAATAGTTGTTCTTTTCTTTTTTCCCCAGGTTCCTGGACGATGGAAGGTGTAGGAAGGTTGATGGTTAAGAGCCCCCACTGCAGGCTCTTCTCCTCGACGTTTGCGCTTGGGAGCCACTACAGACGATGTGGGCAGCGTCAGCGGCTACAGCCACTTGGTGACATAGGGCTGGGCGATAGTGCTCGTGGTGGGTTTAGTACCCTTTGACGAGCCTGTTTTAGGAGAGGAAAAACCGCCTGTTTGAGGAGCCTGGTCTTCACAGCCTGGTCAGATCTTCCACATTCAATGTGATGTGTTCGTCGGAGTGTACTTCGATAATCTTAGATATTCTCAGAGGCATTCAGAGGCCCATCTCATTTGCATGGACATAGGGTGTAGCCCATTACCAGTAACAGTCAGTAAAAGATGATCACTATTTAAGTGAGAAAGGCCTTCACTAACCATCATCATCCACTGTTACTGGCAATGGGATATACCGATACCCAACATGGACCTCTTTTGATCACCAACTTTCCCTAACTGCTTTGAGGGGATCATTTCCTTCCATGAGCCACTGGATTCTCGCAAATCACGAAAGGTAGCTTGAGCTACCTGAGTTCTCCTTGCTTTAGCAAAAATGTATTACAATCAGGAGTTGGGATTGTGCATTGAGTTTGGTCCTGTAAGAGTTGATTCTGTTCGTCGGGGGCCCCCCCCCCCCTGGGATCAAATCCCCCCTGCGCCGGTTCACGCCGTCATGGACTTCTACCAGGGTTGCTTGTGATTGCCTGCTACCTTTCGTTCACCCCCTCCTCTCTCAAGTTATATTTACTCAGATGATTCGAGGGTTCAAAGGCCTTGGGCACACCCAGGTTAATGAAACAATACCATTCAGGTTTATGAACCACTTCGTTTCTTATATAAGTTCTTTGTGTTTTCCCTCTGAGAATCTCTGAGCGCAACCTGGAGGACACTTGCACTGAAGTGCGTGACATCGTGTCAAAGCACATGCAAGTTACATCAAGTTTCCATGCACGTGTTCATTTCGAAGTAGATGTAGATCTGATCAGATGCTACCTATGTGCTGGCACCAGCTGACCTTTGGACACGCTGTGTTTCGTGATGTAGCTGGTCCGCTGGTCGTGTCACCTTGGCCACCCCCCCCCAAAAAAAAAACAAAAAAACAAACCGAACACCATAGGTTTGTAAGCACGGCTAGGTGAACGGCCGCCGTGCCCCCTGCTGCTGTACAATGTGTAAACTCTGCTGTGTACACACACACCGAAACCTAGACCTTCGAGTCCGGACGGACGACACGACTCGACTCAGGCGTGGAGTACACCACCACGCGGCTGCAGAACCTCGTGGAGGCCGGACCTCGTCACCGGTCGAGTCGGTCGAGCCGACTCGCTCGGTCCTCCGCGGAGGACGAAGACCACAGGGGGGTGGAAGAGGACAGGACGAAGACCGGACGACAGCTATGGTGGTCTTTTGTTGAGTCTCTTATGGATATTTGGTGGTGTTGCCATGGCGCCATAGGATCTCTTTTTTGGGGATCTCTTAATTCTCTTTTATCAGGAAGACGACTGTCCGTAGAACAGGTGGTGAAACTCCACTTCCGGACATGAGTTGGAGACGTTATCCCCTGGTTTTGGGGTCCGTGGTCATGCCCCATTCTCAGGTACCTTTTGGAGGGTCCGGGTCAATTTCATCTGGTAGCAGCTAAGGCAGCTAAGGTGGAAACGGAAGTTCTTGGGCTCAGGTCATCCAGGTGGGATCTGACAACTTTCACCTTTTGAGGATGCATGTTTGTTTTACTAGGGGTCTAAATGATCGACTCAGTTGGGATCGACTTGTTTGATATACCCAGACGGTGAAGGACCGGAATTTTGTGGAGACAGAGGTGATGGGACTGACAGGACGGACTGCCGAGAAACGGGCGTTCGGGGTGGTGGGTCAGGGGGTGTCAATTGATCGGCATATATTCCATGGAGATCCATGGAGTGTGTATGGGTCTGAAGAAGTTTTCGCAACTCAGAGTTGCTTTGTCGCCCCGGTCGCCCCTCAAGTCGAAGTGTGTCGCCACTTCGCCGTCGCCACACACTGCCGTGCGTGTGCGAGGCTCAGCAGGATGCCTATGCAAAGCTCCAAACATTGGCGGAAGAAGAAGGCTCGGCTGAGAGGCAGTCGTGGCCCTTACCAACAGGAACATGCCACCTACTGTACTATATATAATATGTATGAGGGGCCAGTGGCGGCCACATCTGCATGGGTACAGATGTGGTGGCAAACCAGTTTTGTCATCATGTTCCAGTAAATGTTGGATTTCACTCCTTAACTTGCTTGGAGGCTAGCCTTTTTTGATCGGGTGGTGTCACCCAAATTTACAGGTTGAGCAGGTTGTTGCAGACCACCCTCGTTCACGCACGGGGGGCAAAAGGCGTGCACAAAAAGCACTCCTGGGACCCGGGTATATAAACCTTTAGCAGGTGATTGAGCAGGCAGCTGAAGACCAGGAGATTCCAACGAGACCAAACCCTTGGTGAGCACCATCTCCACCGGGTGCACCGTTTCTCGCGTTTTCCAATTCGCTGGTGAGCGGCTCGCTGGGCTATGCCGCGAGGCCCCTTGAAGGAGCGCCTCCGCGGCATTCATGGGGAGCTCCATGAACGCATCCAACGGGAGGAGACCCAACGCGTGGCCCGGCGCAGAGACCAGAGACCGTTTGGACGGGACGGCGGGACGGGCTGTTTGGGACGGAGGAGCGGACAGCAGGGTGGACAGGGTGGATTGGAGGTCTCAGAGAGGAAGGACTGTTCAGCGCTCCTGTCTTCCCAAACACTTAGGCCATGTTAGGCCTATACCCTACACCTCCGGTTATACCTCCTAAACGGGTTCGGTATGACTGGACCCGACCCTGGCACCTGGGCCCTGGTCGTCCCAACGAACCTCAGAAAAAAGGCTAGAGGCCGATCGGGACATACCAGGACCCTCCTGTCGGGGTGCCCTGTCAGCAAAGTGCGGTCGTGTGGGGTAGTCGTTCACCAGGACACCCCGAAGGTCGGAGGGTCCAGGTACATTGATTCCTGAAATCAACGTTCCAACAAATCCCCATAGCTACGGCCGGAAGTCCATGGCGGTCCCAGATGGCGGGACCTCGTGGGTTTGGGCCTGAGATCCGGAGATCGTGTGAGGTCCAGTCGTGGTGAATTCCTCAGGTCCAAGCATTCCCTATATGGATTCACAGACCTTCTCAGAAGGTAATTGGACCCTCCTGGCGCCTACATGCATAAATAGTCTCCAATCACCGTACCTCAGAAGGTATGTGGATCCATAGGGATTGGAAGGATTGGTTGACCGAACAGACCGTCTGCCTGGAAGGTTCCTAGTGGGGTAAAGAGATGTTCCTGCTGATTGGGCTTCTTCATGTAAACAGATGTTCTTCATGTAAACAAAATTCAACCATCAACGTGGCCTGTATGTGAAGGGTGGGTTATGCATGTTATTTATGCCTCTTCGATCCTCTTCGTCATGGTTGAATTTCAGAGCAGATACACTCCACCCTAAGATCAAACAGATAGGGTTTGGGAACCGGCCCCGTTTTCCCCCTGCGTTTCGACCCCTGCCATGGACAGCCCAGGCCCGGATTCTTAGGGTATGAACCCTAGGGCTCCAACCATCTGCTCAGAAGGTGGTTAGACCCCCAAAACCCACCCCAACCACCTTCTCAGGAGGTGGTTGGAGCCCTAGGGGACAAAATCATGGCATGGCCCCAGACGCGAAGGCCCAGAGCCTCCGTTCAGGGGCCGGTTCCCCGGTCAAACCGAACGGTTTTTTCGGGGTCCGGACCTTCTCACCAATCCGGGTTTGGTGAGAAGACCAGGAAAGGGCTGTGAAAGGAGCGTTTGGGTTGTTGGAACTTCCATCCATGACTCTTTCAGGTGCACATCCCGCCGGCGGAGCCGAGGACGTCCGCACAGCCGGAAGTAACATGGAAGTGGATGGCATGGTTCCTCCGGTCATGTACCAGGACCCTCCGACCTTCGGGGGGGCCCTGTCTGGAAGCCTATAGGTAGTGTGGGGTAGTCCAGCCAGGACACCCCTTGGAGGGTCCAGGTACATGCATTTTCATGCATGTTCTACTTCCATGTTAGTTCCGAGAGAGGGTAATCGATAAACCCCACTAACGTCCCTGAGTTGGATCTCCTCCATGGTGGTCTTGATGTAGGTGAACACCTCATAGATTTTAATATAATCCCCAAACACTCCATGTGTAGCATATTTGCCTACATGAGGGGTCAATGTAGGCAAATATGCTACACATGGAGTGTTTGGGATCTATTCTGTTCTTGTTCTGCGGGAAAACAGGAAGATTTCGGACCCACAATCCATCGACTAGAAGTTGAGATCGATTCAGGTGGTGAGCATGCTGCAAGATGCAGACTCGGGATCCTCATCACAGAAGGATCTAGTCCAGCCACTTGGCAAGAAGAGCGGCACAAAGTGGTCCGTCACGAACGCTTCACGAATGGCGAAGCGGAGGCGTCTCGTGAGCGAATGCCTTGCAAGACGGTGATAAAGAAACCTTAACAGGGCCATGCTTGGTTCCTACATGAAGGTCACAAGCATTCCCAAGCTATGCTGCAAAGATGTTTGAGCCAATACATCATACATCCAAGAAATAGTCGAAATAGTTAAGCAGCAACAATGGGGACTTTCAGAATCAGACGTTTGTTTTCAGGTTCTTTTTTTGTTATCACTTGATCCTCCACATACCAGAATGTTAAGTTGCTTGAGTTTAGTGCTTTTGCTCGCAAGAAGTGTTTTGCACCAATGTTATTTGGAAAAATGAAAGAAGTGTTTTGGTGTTTCCGTGGCCAAGTCTTAAAACACTTGCACAACCAATAACCATTCGACCCTTCTTCTCACCCTCAATACCCTGAAACACTACAGCCATCAGTCACAAATTCCCAAAGCGCAAACACCAAATGCCGTTTTTTTTTACAAAACAATGCAAGCAGTCTCACTAATCAAAAGATCAGCTCTTCTTGAACAGCTTTCGCAGGTCTTCAAACAAACTTCCTACAAAGTGTTTACAAAGTTTTGGATCTTTACAAACATTTGACAAAGTTTTGGAATTACAATTTTTTACCGAGTTTTTGCATTACAAAGTTTTAACAAAGTCTACAAAGTTTAAAGATAGAAATAACAAACTTCACAAAGTTTTTGGACACTTACAGTACATTGAATTTTACAAAACTTTGGAACTACGAAGTTTTTACAAGGTATTGAACCTTTAGATATCTGAACAAAGCTTTGGACATTTATCAGGCTTTGAACAAGTTTTGGAATTTTTACAAAGTTGTTACCAAGTTATTGAGTTTGAAAGTTTTTACAAAGCTTTTACAAAAGTTTTTGATGCTTACAAACTTTCTACAAAGTTTCGTTTTTTTTTTCAATCTGTGTCAAAACTTTGTAAACTTTACTATTTGAAAACTTTGCAAAACGTTGTAAACTTTGTAAGAACTTTGTAAATACTTTGTAAACTTTGTAAAAGCTGTGTAAGCTTTGTAGAAACTTTGGTGAAATTCAAAAACTTTGTAAACTTTCAAAACTCTGCAACAACTGTGTAAAGATTGAACAAATTTTGCAAACTTTGTCAAAACTTCGTAAACTGTTGTTAAAATTGTAAACTTTTTAAACACTGAAACACTTTAAACTTCGTAAACCTTTGTAAAAACTTTGTGCACTTTGTAAAACTGTGTAAAAAACTGCGAAAACTTTGTGTAAAAAATTGTAAAATGCGAAAACTTTGTCAAAACTTTGTAAAACACTTGTAAACTTTGTCAAAACTTTGTGAACTTTGTCAAAAAGTTTGTAAACATTGCAAACTTTGTACACTTTGTACTAACATTTTGTAAACTTTGTAATTTTTTTTTAGATGTTGTAGGCCTTCGTAAACTCTATTTAAAAAAAGACCTAAACTTCGTAGCACTTTGCAAACTTTGTAAAACATTTTTAAACTTCGTAAACTTTGTCAAAGCATTGTAAACATTTTGAAAGACCTTGTGAACGTTGTGAAAACTTTGTAAACTTTGTAAAACTTTGTAAATTTGTGTAACAAAAGGCAAATGTCGCAAACTTTGTCAGAACGTTGTAAACTTTGTAAAAACTTTGTAAACTTTGTAAAAACTGTGTCAACTATGTAAACTTTGTAAAAACTTTGTAAAACTTTGTAAAGTTCTGTGAAAGAAGTGTTTTTGTACGATTTTTTAATTGAAAAGAAGTGTTTTTCATGTCATTTGTTGTAAACATAAGTGTTTTTTCACCAGCCATTTGCAAACTTTGTAAAAACTTTGCAAACTTGAAAACTTTTGTAAACTTTGTAAAAACTTTGTAAAAACCTTGCAAACTTTGTAAAAACTTTGTAAACTTTGTAAAAACTTTGTAAACTTTGTAAAAACTTTGTAAACTTTGTAAAAACTTTGTAAAAACCTTGTAAACTGTGTAATAACTTTGTAAAAACCTTGTAAACTGTGTAAAGACTTTGTAAACTTTGTAAAAACTTTGTAAACGTTGTAAAAACTTTGTAAACTTGAAAAAGCTGTTGTAAACTTTGTAAAAACGTTGTACAACTTTGTAAACTTTGTACAAACTTTGAAAACTTTGTAAACACTTTGTGAGACTTTGTAGACTCTGTAAACATTGAAAAACTGTGAAAATTCCGAACTTTGCAAGAACTTTGTCAAATTCCAAAGCTTTCTAAAATCGTTGTAAACTTTCAATGCTGTGCAAAAACTCTGTAAACTGTATAAACTTTGCAACTTTTGTGAAAGCTTTGTAAACTATGTAAAGTTTGCAAATGTTTGTACACTTTGAAAAAACTCCATGTAAAATTGTACAAATTGCAATCTTTGTAAAGATTTTATAAACTTTGTACAAGCTTTGTAAACTTTCAAAACTTTGCAAAACTGTGTAAACTTTGTAAAAAACTTTGTCAACATTGCAGCAACATTGTAAAACTTTCAATACGTCTTTAATTGATTTTTTAATGGTAAAACCTTTGTAAACTGGGTAAACTTTGGAAATTGTTCAAAACTTTGTAAACTGTGTTAAAATATTGTAAACTTTGTAAAACTTTGTAAACTTGGTAAACGGTTGTAAAACTTTCAAAACTTTGCAAACTTCATAAAATCTGTGTAAAACTTTGTAAACTTGTACCAACTTTGAAAGCTTTGTAAAAACGTAGTGAACTTGGTATAAACTTGGTAAACTTTGTCAACACTTTGTAGACTTTGTAAAACTTTTTTAAACTTTGTCAAACTTTGTAAGCTTTGTCAACCTTTAAACTTGTAAAACTGTGTAAGAACTTGGTAAAACTTTATTAAGACGTTGTAAAATTCGCAAACTTTGTAAAAAGGTTTACAAACCTTTTACGAAGTTTTGGAGTTCTTCAAATTATTCTTCAAAGTTAGAGCAACGTTTTACACAGTTTTTAGAACGTTTACAAAGTTTTGTATTTTTTACAAAAAATACAAAGTTTACAAAACTTTCACAAAGTCTTAAGAATTTGTACAAAGTTTGCAACTTTTGCAAAGAGTTGACAGAGTTGTTGAATTACAAACAAACTTACAAAGGTTTACAACGTCTACAAAGCTTTTACCATGGCCGTTCACTCACCACTCACGAGACAAACAAACCTATGAAATAGTCCTTTGGGTCTCGTATGTTGCCACTAACAACGCAAGAAAAAACAAGACGTGTTTTATACCCTCTCTTAGTTCTGAACAACCAATTCTTCAGAGGTCCGCAAGGGTCAAAAACACTTCTTCTGCGCTAATTCCCCCGAAACAACGAACGACGGTCCCCAAGCAACTTAACATACCAGAACTCACCACATGGCAAGATACTATAATTGATTCATTATATCCACTTTGCTGGCCATATTTGCGAAACCACTAGGCACACGTGTTCACGCACGTGTTCACTTTTTTGGGGCACGAAGGACTCGTTTTGTTTGGTTGTGGTCTACATGTGGGGCCTGACCCCATCGACATGTTCGGGTAAGACCCCAGAAGTCCCTCGATTCGATTTCTTGGTGAAGAGACTTCCTGTTGAGTGGCTGAACCTTGTTTTTCTCCTCCCGAGATGGAGATCTACAAGCTTGTTGCTCCAACCCTCTGAGAATTCCTCGCTGAAAACACGCATTCCAGCGCTGCTCGGCGCCGGGAGACCGGCGCTGCTCGGCGCTGCGTCGGCGCAGGCGTGTCCGAGACATGGTGGCCCAGGGACAGGACCCCGAGAAAGCCCAGCAGCAGATCGTGGAGGAGATCGGTGGGGCGGTGTGGTTTCACTGGGCCGATTGGCCCGGGCTGAGCTTCACCGGGCCAAGATGAAAAGTCATCTACTCCCTACACCGACTTCGTTGTACCTCCTAAACGGTTCGGATGACTGGACCCTCCTGGCACCCGGGCCCCCAGTCCCACCTTCTCAGGTTCGGTACGACTGGAGACTGGGACTATGTGAGTTCCGTGTTTTTGTTCACCGGCATTTTGAGTCAGAATGAGCTCATTCATTCGATTCATGTATGAGTGAGGCATAGTGAGGCCATAGTCCCCACCACGAGAATGAGCCTGGTCAGCAGGACTCTTGGCCAGAAACTATTCCCCTTTGCAATTCAAGACAAACTGAATAGGCTATGACAAATCTTCAGCTGAAAGGGTAGCATTCACTGTTCAGCTGAAAGGGTAGCATTTACTGAACATTCACTGAGGTCCAATCCAATCCAACTATAGAACCAACAACAACCAACCAAACAAACGAACGAACGAACAAACGAATTAAATGAACAAACGAACAAACAAAAAGAAGACTAATTATGAATTAAAGCAACTAACAACCAACAAAAAGAACAAAAACAACAACTGCTGCTGCTGCTGCTGCTGCTGCTAAGCTACCACAACTCTTGTGCCTTCAGCGCTGTGCATCACCAGCTTTTCAGCGCAGCGCTTCAGCTTCAGGAGCTGGTGCTCCAGTCACAGGACGAGGTGCGTCGCCGCGTGATGGAGCACTTCGGGCCACTGCGCTTGGAGGCGGGCGAAGGATGGGAGGAGCGCCGAATGGCGCGAAGGGTATGGCTATGGCTATGGTTATGGCTATGAAGGAAATCCCTGTGGCTGGTGATGTGACGTGGCTGTTCATGATATGTTTTGGCAATTCATGTTTTTGATTTGCTGATGTTGATTTTTCCAGCGAACTGGGTGTGGGCAGTATCCTGTAATCTTTTCCGGATGCGTTCAAGCAAATCTAAGGAAGGTGGGGGGGTGAAGGACTGTCGCTACGAAGGGAACATCCAAATTTTGAAGGATCCATTTTTGGACTGGGCAGCTGGGCAGCTGGACGCACTCAGCTTGCGGGGATTTGAGAATCCCATGTAGACCGCCCTAGGGTTCGAACCAATTAGACCACCCTGGCACCCACCCCAACCACCTTCTCAGGGCCAGGAGCCCTAGGGGTGGTCCATGCCACCAGTGTTTTTGGGAGCCACGCCGTGAATCTGTTTTTCCCTTACCGACCCAAACGTTCCATGGGACTGCCATAGATGCCGATCAGGCCAGGGGTGGTGCCAGAGGGGTCTGTTTGGGGCGGCAGTCCTATGGCAGTCCCACGGAGTGTATGGGTTATTTCTTCCCACGGCCCCGCACGGTCGCCGTGCTTGCTGCTCTTTGGGTCGACCACCGCATCGCTGGCGCATGCTGGCGCGAAGGCGGAGGGGGAGCTCTATAGCCGGCAACTGTCGGTGGCTCATGTTGGGTGCCCCAGAATTGGAGGCCGTAAGTGGGTGAGACCAGTGGAGCTATGTACTGGTAGATAGTGGTCCTTTTCAAGTGCTTGGTTGGGGGTCATAATCAAGAAGGCGGCTTCTTCTGTAGGGACAGGACTTTGAAAATTATAAGAAGATTTAAATTTCAATTTGATGAGGGGTCATTCTAGCTCAGTTAAAATTGTGGAAGACTTGGAAGTGATGTAGGTTTCAACTACCCAGTGCCAGCCAGCATACCAGCCGTCAAAAATGAGGTATACAAAAAAAGACACCGCAGACTTCAACCACTAACCACTCCACCCTGGGTGACACAACCGGTTGAACCCAATTGAACCGCTCTTTTGAATCCCTAGAGCCTCAGATAGCGATATCCCCAAGGCGTGACCACTTCCGCAGCCAGTGGATCACCTGCAAAAACATGTTCACCACATCCGGCTTCCTTGGCAGCTTGATTTACAAACCACCTTTCAATCAAAAGGGGCCTCATCTCGTCTCCGAGGATTCTTTCCCAGACTCAGAGCCTACCAGCTTCCTTTCCACCACATCCCCCTTCATCGCTCCTCTTCGGGGAGCCGCTCGCTGACCGCGACCGACAGGAGCTGGAGTCTTTGGAGGCGAAGGCCATCGCTCTCCATGGGGGCACGCTCTGCGAAGAGGCGAGCGCGGCACGTGGCGCTGCGGTCGGGCGGTGCGCCGTGGGCGAGTTCGGATGGCAGGACCGGTCAGCGGCGTGGGGTGGGTGCGGGACGGACCTGGAAGCTGTGTTCTGAAGTGATTGGTCTCCCCCATGACTGCATGAGGTGGCATTTTGCATCGATTGTGCTAGCTATACATTGGGTCATGGTTGAGAGAGGGGTCAAGTTTTGCGGCCAGGATTCTTCCGTTCGGTCACTTGATCTGCCTCGGTCCAGTTTCTTGGGCCGAAGCTCTGAACTCGCTGGACGGGACTCGTTGGCCCAAACACGACCTGTCTGGGACCGGCAGGACGGACTGCCGAGAAACAGCCAGACCTCCCTGGCACCACCACCCCTGGCCGTTTCTCGGCAAAGATGATCAAAGATGCCAGTCCCATGGAACGTTCGAGTCGGACCAGCCCGACGGATCCAGCGGCTCCCAAGAGGGACCCCCAACGGCCCCCCCCGCACCCCTGATTCTTGATACTTGATTGGTGAATCATTCATGGTGGAATCAGAAATATTGATGTCCTGCTTCTTTTTAGTTCCGAATCCCAGTAGGGAGTTGAAATCACCAACCACTTGAGCTCAGTGGGATACATCGCATTAAAATGCATTAAAACTAAATCGCCGTTTGAGAAGTAAGCATCCGACCAGTGATGAGGAGGCCGTGTCGCACGAGGTGGCTTCCTTGTTGGGCACGAGGTGTCACCGAGGAACAATAGAGTCTACACGGTCCCCCCGCACCAAACACGGTGTACTATGCGGTTACAAAGCTCAGGGTCCCGGCAGTAGCAATCAAGATCAATATTGATCAATTCCAAATCCTTCTCACAAGGCCCCAGTTCAGCTGCGTATGCTCATTCTTTGCCTTGTGTGTGTGTGTGCGGGATGCGATGCATGCACATTCAAGGGTCCTTCAGTTGATCGAGCCCGGTCTATTTCCATCCCGGATCCGCCGGCCTCGAGCTTTGAAGGGGATTGGAGACGTATCTCTTTTTAATGTGGGCGCCGTACTGATCAGTGTGGGCGCTTTCACCGAACCTGAGAAGGCACGTCGCACCGAACCGAAACCATGCTTCGTACCTCAGTCAGTCGCCCTCCGCCTGGGTCACGCGCCAGGCGAAGCTGATGGGCTTTGATTTCAACTTGGCAGCACAGGTCGGGGCCGCGGTTGGGGGCTGTAGTCTTTCAGATCTTTCAGCTTATGCAGAAGACGGTCCCTCAACAAACAGTACAAACCACCAACAGCCCAGACTCAGAACAACCCAAAACACTGGCATATGTTTAAAGGGATCATGGCACCCAAATGCAGACAGTGCCAACTGTATGCGTGCACTTGTGTGCATACATCAACATCAACCTTGTCCGCAGATCGAGTTGATGCCCTACGTTTCTCGACGCATTTGCACCTTCCGTACCTTCTGCAGACCTCGTCCGGGAGACACTGTAGGAGGAGAACCGCAATATAATTTGGCACATTGGACTTGGGTCTGTCCAAACTTACCTGTAACAGGACCTGTAAACAATTATCACTATTTTTGAACAAGGCCTTTACTAACCATCATCATCCATTGTTACAGGTATTAGGATAGACCCAACATTGGACAATATTTTGTGTTGCCTTGGGATGAGAGCCCAAATGCCAATGGTCCAGCGATGATTTGCAAGTGGCGGCCAATAATCGGGAGTGAAAAGTGCTATCGTGTCTTCCTGGCCCATTTCAGTGGACAAATCCACTTCAAATTAACCGACCCTTCAAAACTGACCAACTTGGGCCATATTTTTGTCCGGGTATTTCCGCCATTGTTCCGCCGGTTTCCGCCTTTTGGACGGGTATTTCCGCTCTTGTTTTTTTGTGTTTCTTTTGAGCCCGGTGGCTGGGAACCCTCTGGATCCGGTTTCTCATGTGAAATATCAAAAAGTGTATGTTGGGATCTGTGAAGTTGAGAAAGTGTCATTATGTCACAAAACCCTTTTTTTTTCTTCAAAAATGACTAAAATAATGCGCACTTGTGGTTTACTAGGTAAGGATAGGAAAAAAGACTTGGACTTGCAGCACGATGCTTTTCTACCAACCGGCCTTTTTGGAAAACATGGAAACCACTCTAAGGTTTTTTCATGTTTTTTTTTCAAACCGTCTTGATGAGCAAGTTTCTGGCCTCCACTCCGGGCCTGTTTCTGGCCTTTATCGTGGGGGTCTCAAGTCCAGTCGCCCTTCTTCAGGTCCTGGTGATATGTTTGGTTGGGTTATGTTCAGTGTCGTTCATCTCCTTGTGGACATCACCTTCTTTGTACGGAAAAGGTGGTCAGAAACCAGTCAACCCAGCCAATGACTCCGCCTCAGGTGCGGCAGAACCTGCGACAGGTCGGTTTGCCACGCATGAGTTCGGCGATGTCGCGCGTGGCATGGCTGCAAATTTGTGTTTGTTAACATTTTTCTGCTTCCTTCCTGCAACCAGAAGAAGAAAGCATGTAAAAAAACAAGTTATTCAGTATTCAGATAGTTACTTCGTACTTATAGGAAGGAAGCACTTCCTGAGTGCAAATTGGATGGTTCAGACCAATTTTGGAAGTACTTACCTATCCCCGGTTGGTGCTCATACTTGAATGGTAGAACCTCCAGCATTTTAAAGGATTGTTGCTCACCTCAAAGACCTTTTTCACCTCAAAGACCAGCTACCTGGCCAACAAAAGAACACATCTAACCGGGTCTCACCCCGGCGAGTTCCAAGATGTTTTTTCCGGACATTGGCGGACATTGGTTCCATCCGGACATTGGGTTGAACGGAGCACATCCATCGTTTTCGACACGTTGATTTGATGCCACTGAAGATTGATGTCTGGCATAACACTGTCATTCACTTCACAGGAAAAAGGGGTAAAAAGAGGTATATACCAGGACCCTCCTGTCGGGGTGCCCTGTCAGCCTAGTGCGGTAGTGTGGGGTAGTCCAGCCAGGACACCCCGAAGGTCGGAGGGTCCTGGTACAGTTGCTTCGCTTCGATGGCCCCTCCCAGAGGTCATGGATAGATGGAGGGACTAGGGCGTCACCAACCACCCCGTTCATCGTGGGCCACACATTTCGTGTCATTGAACCTCAGGTTCCTCACTTATGCTGTACCTGGTTTTGTGGATCAGGTGATATTGTCCACTATGATGGGCATATAAATCCATGTAAATCCCCTGGTGGTGGATGATGGTGAAGATGTGTTGTTTTCCTTCCAGGTTCCGCAATCAGCCAATCCCCCATATACGCACGCCGCGTGGCGACGCGTGGCTTCCTTGAGGTCGACTCCAGCGTCAGCAGCCAGGTGGAGGTGGGCTCATCGGTTGGTGGGCAGGTCACTGAAAACTACACACATACCAGGACCCTCCGACCTTCGGGGTACCCTGTCTGGAAGCCTAGTGCGGTAGTGTGGGGTAGTCCAGCCAGGACACCCCGAAGGTCGGAGGGTCCAGGTAGAGTGGTTTCAGAAATTCTCAGAGTATATAGATGGCATTGGCACCCCAAAAGGTTTCACAGTACTGGTCGGTGGCATCACTGGCAGGGCTCTACCCAAAACGCCACCAACGGCAGGCTAAGGCTGTGCAGTCGGGGCATGCCTTACGTCGCATCCACCCCGACAGGACCATGTTCTGGGTGTGAGAGTTGTTCCTTTCTGCGCGCACAGGGCGGTTTGCGCACGAGTTCATATGAGTTCATCCTAAAGAAAGCCAGGAGGGTTGGACTTCCCAAGGTCCTTCACAGTTGTCGTGTGAAAGAGATGACCTGACAGGACCTGACCTGTACGAACTGACACCCTTTGGCCCTTGCTCAGTCGCCTTCCGTTCGTTTAAGGAAGGGTTGAGCTGGTCTTGTAGTGTAATTACTGTAGAAGCCTTAGTAAAACCAATGGTTGGTCGGTAAGGACAATGAAAACATCATGGTTGGAATCCTGGGCCTTGGGGAAGAGATGAATTTTCTTGGGCGGGTTGACGTACCCAAACTCTCCTCGTTGACGTGTTTCAGTTCCACTAGCGGGTGCTGAAGATTTCTCTCGAAGATGCAAGCTTCTTGAAGGCGCTGGCTGCGCTGGCTGAGCAACCCGTCAGTGGCTACATGACTTACTGAACTTACGTCTTCTATGGATTGACCCTTTGCCAGTATTTTGTTGAAGGAGTGCAGTGCATGACAACTCATATTGATAGCAATCCAAAAATCAAGAGAAAACGGACATCCCCTTGGAACATGTCTAGGAAAATCTGAACATGTGTCAAGCCAACTCTTGAGCGTTAGAGAAAGCACACTCCAGGAAAAATGAAAACATCCTTTGAATACTTGACCAACTCAATTTGCATTACCTTCCAACATGTAGTTCCATGTTGTTCCAATCACATCTCTGAAGATCCCTTTTTCAGGTGGTCCCACCTTGGTTTTTGCTTGGGGTGATTGTTATGTCAGGGTACCTAGCACTTCCAACGGGTGCCCAATGGAGACCTGTAAGTAGGGTAGGGTAGTCTATTGGACACCCATTGGATGATCCTGGAATGTTTCTCTAGATGGGGAAAACCCCCTCACCTGGGCATATCCCGGCTTCCGACTGAGCAAATCCAACCACCTGCATCAGGTGGCACGCGCACCCTCGACGGGGCGGATGCCCAAGGCTGGGGAGTTCGGAGATATACCCAGACCATCCATGGGACTGAAGTGTATATCATGTAAATTCATTTGATGTAGACTCTTGGTTAAAAACGTCCATTTGGATTGACCAACTTTTTAACCATATGTTTTGTAATGTTTAATCTATGTTGTATATGTGGGATTATGAATCAAGAGTCTACATTATCCTACTTATACATGTCAATTTTGGATCATTTTAGGTTTGTTACCTTTAGCAGTCGGTAAACAATAAATTATCACTTTCTATGTTTGAACAAGGCCTTTACCAACCATGATCATCCGTTACTGGTAATAGGATAGACCCATAATCGTCAAACATATATTATAGGTGTAACTACGTATTCCATGGCACCACCGATTGAGCTTCAGCTTTTTTTTGTGGCTTTCCCTGAATAGGTTGGAGAGAATATCGTATCTACAGGAAGCCATGGTGACATCACTTCCAAAAACTATGGGCCCGCAGATGTTCTACTGTAGCAATACTGTTCTTCAAAGCATTTCTGAGATCAATTCCCTACAGGTCGAAGACCCCTCCGGTGGTGTGCTTGTCGTTTTCCCAAACAGTCTACCGAGTTTAGGCTTCACTGTGGGCCGGAAAAACTGGCCAAGTGGCCACAGTCTTTGGGGTCTATGCTGAAAGCCACTGTTTCTCATCCTCTGCTCGCTTGGTCCTAACCTCCAGGTGGACAGCCCGGGTTCGCCGTGGCGTGGCGCGCGGAACCCTGCGGCCGACTCCACGACCGCGCCAGAGGCGGGGTGCCCGGTGGTCTTCTTCTTCCCTTGGTTCTTGATTGGATTGACCCGGAACCTGGGTCACGTACCTGCAGGGATGACGTTCTTGGTCGACCAAGTGTTGCATGTTTTTTTCTCCACAGACATGCAGCAGACATGCATCCGTCGCGGAATCTCGTGCCGTTGAAAGATTAAACAGTTGATTGTTCGGAGCCGAACTTAGTAGCAAGAGGATTGCTACTAGAGGATTGCTACTAGTAACCGATTGCGGGGCATCGCTTGCATATTGCAAACCTGTCTATAATTTTTATTTGCGCTTTGGCGCTTTGTGTTGCTCAGGCATCTTCAGCGCTTGTGGCTTTCAGTTTGTAAGTACCGTATCTCCAGTGTGATCTAGTGAAATCTAGTGTTGTGAGTTGGGGAGAGGCTAGGGAATATGGTTTTCAAAATATTTCATTGAGGTCGCAAAACGAGAGATATTTGAATTTCAAAAAAGCAGCCACTTGCAGCCACTCGAGTGGCCGCAAGTGGCCGCTCCCCAAAAATCACACAGCAAGTGGCCGCAAGTGGCAAGTGGCCGCTATAGTAAGAGCAGGTTCAAGTGAAACTTTCCTTTTTCCAAGATGGAGAGCAGGGATGTCATCAAATCTTGAAAAAATACGGAGCTAGAGTGTTTCAATATTTCTTCAAGATGGAGGCCACTTGCAGCCACTTGCGGCCACTCGAGTGGCCGCACGTGGCCGCTATAGCAAGAGTACCCAAACATAGAAGAAGCGGAGCCCCATGCAAGGGAGTATCCAAATAAGGATGAAGAGGACCGGAACGAAACAGAGAATTCCATCGCAGAGGGAAAGGACTCAAATGAAGGAAAGACTCAAACGAAGTAGGAAAGATTCAAAGGAAGAAGGAAAGGAATCAAACGAAGGAAAGA